GCCGATGGAAGCCGCGGTAGGTGCAAGCTCCGGGCCCCCCTCCCCCCTCATTTGCATGCACATTTGCATATTAATGGTACCCCCCTCCGCGTGCGCCTGGGCTTTTTTGCATCGCGGGATGAGATTGATTGGGGCGGGCACACGCGCACACATACACGCGCACACACAGGGAACCCAGACATCCAACACACAGGGAATCCAGGCGTCCCAAGACACACATGCACAAACACCCACATGCAACCCCCCATGCACACCCAGCCCTACACACACACGCATGCACACACAGAGGGAACCCAGGCATCTGGGACACACACCCACGGGCACACAAAGCCCTGTGACAGCCCCCCCGCCCCATGCTGCGCACACACGCACAACACCCCTTAGCTGCCCCCACGCATGCACAGTCCTGCAGGCGTGCGCACACACACCTACACACACACCCTCCCTCATAGGCCCCCCCTGCTCACACGCAACGCCCCTATCCACCCTCCCCAGGCACGCACCACCCCCTCCACGTACACACCCACACCCCACCTGGCATACATGCCTCTGCACACCCACACACACGCATCCTTCTCAGGCGCACACACACACACACGCACACCCACTCCCCATGCCCCCCTTTACCCTACACATGTCTGTGTTACCTGGGAGATGTTCGGCCTGGGTGCAGGGGACTCTGTAGTGGTGGCAGGTGGGGGGGGAAGGCCTGGCCTGGTGGGGCTGCAAGGACCCCTGGGGCTGAGGGGGCGGGCAGGGGGCTCCGGATCCCGGCTGTCCCACCCTTCTGCCCAGCTCACCCTCCCATGGGGTGTAGGGGTGGGGGGCACTGCCGGGGGAAGCTCACAGTGCCACGGTGCAGGGCGGGGCCGGGGGCTGCGGGTAGGAGCCAGAACCCCCTGCACTCTCACTCGCAGGTCTGGGCCTGGATGCCTGGGTTCTCTCCAGTGGAGGGGGCTGGGGGGCCGAACGCCTGGGTTGTGGGGGAGGCACTGGGGTGAGAGCAGGGGGCCAGGGGCCCCAGACACCTGGCTTGACTGGGCGGGGGGGGCACTGGGAGTGAGAGCAGTGGGGGCTGGGAGCTCAGATTCTTGGGTTCTCAGGGAGGGGACGGGAGCTGGGGGGGCTGGGTTCTCTGCGGGGGGAACCAAGGGCCGGACACCTAGGTTCTCTGTCTGCTTGGTCCATTGCTTCCCTTTGCCGCATCCTGGAGGTAGCAGGTGTGTGTGTGTGTGTGTGTGTGTGTGTCAGATGCCTGGGGGGGCGGATATGTGCGCACATGTATGCCTACACCCTAGAGGCCTGGGTTCTGTGTGTGTGTTCATACAAGTGTGTACGTGTGTGTGTCCCTCCACCGGTTCGCAGCACCCATGTGCGGCCGAGAATGTGCACACCCATGCGTGCCGCCATGTGTGTCACTGTCCCTCACTGCCTGGCATGGCATGGCATGGTGGTGTGTGTGACGACGGGTGTAGGGGGGGGCTTGCCTGAGCTGCATGCACACGTGTCAAGACATGGGTGCACATGCAGCCCCCGAACACATGCACACACGAATGTGAGCAGCTCTCTAAGCCTGGGAGGTCCCCAGTCCTGTGTGGCCCCAGGGTGGTGGAGAGACGTCAGCTGTCGCAGGAGGGGAGGGAATGCCCCCCCTCCCCCCCCCAGCCATAGGGAGGGTGATACCCTCCCTGCCTCCTGAGCTGAGACAGGTACCAGGAGGGAGATAGTGGGGGTGCCCAGGTTTGGGACAGGGGTACGTCTATCTGTCTGACTGGTCCCAGCCCGATGCCTGGCTCCGCCTGTCCCTAGGGAGACGCATTCACCTGTCTGGCCCTGCCTCCAGCTCCGTCCATCTGCCCCACCATCCCTCCTCTCCCTGTTCCTCTGTCTGTCTGTCTGCCTCTCCCTCCATCCATCCACTTAGTTTATCTGTCAGTCCATCCCCATACAGGCCTTTTTCTGTTCTTTGTATATCCATCCATCCCTCCATTCTGTCTATCCCTCCCACCATTCATCCATCCATTTGTCTGTCTGGTTGTCTCTGTCCCTCTATCTATCCGTCTCTCCATCCATCCCTCCATCCTTTTGTCTGTCTATCCCTACACCTCTCTATTCCCCTATCCATTCATCTTTCCATCTGTCTGTTCATCCATCTGTCCCCATAAGTGTCCGTCCCTCCATCCATCCGTCTGTTAATTCATCTATTTCTCTCTTCCTCCCTCTACCTACCTGTCTGTCCATCCATCCATCCATCCATGTCTTTTTCTCCATCCATCCATCCATCCCTCTGTCTGTCCATCCCTCCATCCATCTGCTTGCCTGTTTATCTCTTCCTTGTCCATCTGTCCACCTCTCCATCCATCCATCTGTCCGTTTATCTTTCTATCCTCTGTCTATCCATCTCTTCCACTATCCATCCCTTTGTCTGTCTATCTATCTCTCTATCCCCCCATCTACTCTTCCACCCATCCATCTGTCTGCCTGCTCATCCATTCTTCTATCCCACCATCCCTCTCTCTCTCCCTCTACCTGTCCCTCCATCTCTCTGTCCACCTGTCTGTCCATCTCTGGAGCTCCCCAGCCCCACAGGCCAGCCCCGTCCATCCATTCCTGCCCCGGCAGCTGCCAGCGTCTCTGCTCCAGAGCCCGTCAATACCGTGCTATAAATAGCACCGGAAGGGAGTCCCGGGATCCAGCTATAAATAGTCTGGCTCATTTGCATATCGGGAAAACACGCTGGCCCCCGCGCCTGCGTGCGGGACTATAAATAGCAGCTCCGCCGCCGAGCCATCGATGAGGCTATAAATAGCCCCGGCCCTTTGCATATCTGAAAATCCATCACCCAGCCTATAAATAGTTCCCTCCATTTGCATATTGGGAAATGCGCCTATGAATAGCGCAAGCTCCCTCCGCCCGGCCGTGCCTGTGCACCCCCTTCTCTGGCTCCGTCCATCCATCTGTCCGGTGCATTTAGCCCTGGCTCTGTAGGCCCTGGATCCAGGCTGCAGAGAGGCCATCACTGCCACCTGGGGTGTTTGGGGCTGTACAGACCGCCCCCCCCCGGCCAGGATCGGGGGTGCTCAGGACTGTATGGACCTCTCAGGCCAGGATCGGGTGTGCTCGGGGCTGTACAAACCCGCCCCACAGGCAGATGCTTGAGGCTGTACAGACCTCTCCAGCTGGGATCAGGGGTGCTTAGGGCTGTGCAGACCTCCCCAGCCAGAATTAGGAGTGCTCAGGGCTGTATGGGCCCCACAGCTGGGATTGGGGGTGCTTGGGGCTTTACAGACCCCCTAGGCCAGGATCAGGGGTGCTCGGGGCTGTACAGACCCCTGAGGCTGAGATCAGGGGTGCTCAGGGCTGTATGGACCCCCCTGGCAGGAATCAAGGGTGCTCAGGAATGTATGGACCCCTGAGGCCAAGATTGGGAGTGCTGAGGGCTGTATAGACCCTCCAAACTGGCACCGGAGGTGCTCGGGGCTTTATGGATCCCCTGGCCAGGATCAGGTGCGCTCAGGGCTGTACAGACCTCCTCGGCCAGGATCAAGGGTGCTTGGGGCTGTCCCTATCCCCCAGGCTGGGATCGGGGGTGCTTGGGGCTGTACAGACCCCGCCCCAGGCCAGGGTCGGGGCCACACCAGGCTCTGTCCAGCCCTGCGTGGTCTTGGCCTG